TGCAACATTTACACAATAACTAATTTAGAAACAGACTGGCTATTTTTACATGAAATTTGCAAATCAGTATCCAATTCATTACAAATTAGAGTTTAGTGAATAAACCCCACAGAGATCCTTATTAAGTCTTGATACATTCCCGTTACAAAAGCAACCTCTAAGTGCATTTAAATACGAGAATATCATTCAGTGCTGCGGGTACAAAGATCTATAATAACTGTGTATTGAAAATGTGTATTTAATTATTTACAATATCTGTATTGCTCTTCTCTGTCCTGTTTCTACTTTTCGAGAAACACAGATTCATTTTAATGAGATGAATTATAAAGAGGCGGTTTTCTCTTCTGTCTGGTGTCTATCAGTAGTGTATGTCTGACTAATATTTCATTACTGTATGTGTTCAGTAAAATGCTGACCCTTTTAATGCCATAAATGAATAAAACATTTAAAAGCAAAATATAATAGGGCTCTGGAGCTCATTTTATTTTGTTTTTATTGCACCCACTTTATTCTTACATAAAAACAAGCAAAAGCAGACATCCCAAAACACTTTAGTTTTTTCATGATTCTTATGACTGTTTATTGTAGATATTTTAAGACACTCTCTTAAATTGAGAGTCCCCCTTTCCTTTTCATTGCTGCATACTGGATACCTGTTGTCAGACTGTGCCTGGTTCTGTGATCTGTATTGGATCTACATACCCCTCTAAACCTATGAACTTGGATTGTTAAATTACTTGTTTATTTACTGAATAACTTTGATTATCTATCTGTGAATTATACATACTTTTTGTAAAATCTATTTTAATTAACACAAATAGAAATTTCATTTTACCAAAAAAAAAACCAAAAAAACAATTTCTTGGCATGCAGAACAGCGTTGGTCTAACAACTTTTTAAGACATGTTAGAAAATTGACAGTGAGACATACACACATCATCCACAACATTAAAACCACCTGCCAAATATTGCATAGGTTCCCCTTGTGCCACTAAAACAGCTCTGATGCGTTGAGGCATTGACTCCACAAGACCTCTGAGAGTGTCCTGTGGTACCTGGCACCAAGACATTAGCAGCAAATCCTTTAAAGGACCACTATAGGCACCCAGACCACTTCATCTAAATGAAGTGGTCTGGGTGCTGGTCCAGCTAGGGTTAACCCTTTTTTTTATAAACATAACAGTTTCAGAGAAACTGCTATGTTTACACTGAGGGTTAATCCAGCCTCTAGAGCCTCTAGTGGCTGTCTCATTGACAGCCGCTAGAGGCGCTTGCGTGTAAATGCTTTCCTATGAATTGGCTGAATGCGCGCGCAGCTCCTGCTGCGCATGCGCATTCAGCCGATGACGTTGCTAGGAAGGAGGAGAGGAGGAGGAAAGCTCCCCACCCGGCACTGGAGAAAGGTAAGATTTTATCCCCTTCCTCTCCCCAGAGCCCGGCGGGATGGGGACCCTGAGGGCACTATAGTACCAGGAAAACGAGTATGTTTTCCTGGCACTATAGTGGTCCTTTAAGTTCTGCAAGTTGAAAGATGGGGCCTCCATGTATACAGATTTGTTGTTCTAACACATCCTACAGATGATCCATCAGATTGAGACAGAAACATAGAAACATAGAATGGTACAGCAGATAAGAACAATTCAGCCCAATTTCTTTAAATACTCTCATTAGTCCCTGGCCTTATCTTATAGCTAGGATAGCCTTATGCCTTTTCCACACATGTTTCAACTCATTCACTGTGTTAACCTCTACCACAGCTGGAAGGCTATTCCATGCATCTACTACCCTCTCAGTAAAGTAATACTTCCTGATATTACTTTTAAACCCTTGCCCCTTTAATTTAAGATGATGTACTCTTGTTGTGGTAGTTTTTCTTCTTTTAAAAATAGTCTCCTCTTTTACTGTGTTGATTTCCTTCATGTATTTAAATGTTTCTATCATATCCCCCTGTCGCTTCTATCCTCCAAGCTATACATGTTAAGATCCTTTATCCTTTCCTTGTAATTTTTATCCTGTAATGAACTAGTTTTGTAGCCCTTTTCTGTACTCTCTCCAGTGTCAATATCCTTCTTAAGATACGGTCTCCAGTATTGCATACAATACTCCAAGTGAGGTCTCACCAGTGTTCTGTACAATGGCCTGAGGAATTTGGAGACCAAGGCAACACCTTGAACTCTCTGTCATGTTCCTCAATTCTTTCCTGAACACTTTTTGCACTGTGACAGGATTACTTGTCAAAGTAACATCACCATGAATGCCAAGACCCAAGGTTTCCCAGCAGAACATGGCCCAGAACATATCACTATCTTCTTCCCATAGTTTATCCTGCTGCCATTCCTTCCCCAAGCTAATAAACAGCCGTCCATCCACCTGATCTAAAAGAAAACATGAGTCATCAGCCCAAACATCCTTCTACCATTGCTCCATTATTCAGTTCTGATGCTCACATCTTCATTGAAGACGCTTTTGGTAGTGGACATAGGTCATCATGGCCACTCAGATTGGTCTGCAGCTATGCAGCTCCATACGAAGCAACTGCGATGCACTGTGTGTTCTGACACCATTCCATCATGACCAGCATTATGTTTTTCAGTAATTTGAGCTACAGTAGCTCTTCTGCGTGATCGGATCATATGGGCTAGCCTTAGCTTCTCACTGGGTGGTTCTGTCAAAAATTGATGAAAAAAGATTCAGGGAAACATTTGGATATGCCAGAAATGCATGCTAAATTTCATAATTACATTATTTTATCTCTATTAAAAAATGGGTGGGAAAGATTTATAATTATGATGGATTGTTTTTTTCTTTTGCAAATTTGTATTAATGAATAATGGGGAGCACCTGCAGAAGTAGTGATTTTAAGTTAAAAAATGACATTTTTCAAAAAACGTCATTGACCACTTCCATCCTGAGAAGAACACAGCTTACCCACACATTCAGTCAGTCACTGTCCTTCAGTTTGGAAAAAAATAATGCCCTTATAAAATCAGGAGTAATTTAATACAGTAGTAGCAACAGTAGTAAATTAATCTGAATTTTTTATTTTTAACTTTTCTAAAAAATGAAAGGGTGACAACAAGTGTCTGGGACATCTAATGCCTGCTCATTTTTCATATCCTTTTTTAAGTACCCTTTTCAAATTAAATTACTTTTGTTGCCGCTACCATTTTTATTTTTCATTTCCTTCCATTGTAACGATTTCAATGTTTTCTTTAGGTGATAAATCCCATATGTGACAGTATATAACAGAATAACTAGTGGCTGTTTATGTGCAAATGTCTTATACAAAATCCTTAAAGAAATAGCATAAGGTACACTGACAGTTCACAAAGCTCTGAATGTTCACAAATTAAATCTGAATGGAAAAAAATGGATGAAAGAATAGCTGATCTAGAAAATGTATACAACTCAACAGAGTTGACATTTAATTTGCTAAATTTTAGATTTTAGTGATGGTTCATAAACATGACTTCGTATATAGCTCAGTGAAGAAACAGCAAAACCTCCACTTCTAATCTTTCAAAATGTGTTTATTTCAGGATTTATAGCAGATAACTGGCAATATGCCAGTGTGGTGCCCATATTCCATATCCCCTTAAGGAATCAAAATCTCAGCATTAATATTATAGACTTTATTTTGTCTCCAATCATGTGACTGCTTATCTTCTCCAAGATAAAAAAAAAAAACTAAATAATATACAGTAGGGGGTCTCACCCCAGTGAGGATACCACCAGAATAATAGGCTATCAGTCAGCCATCATGGTATGAAATACCCAGTATTTTACTCCACATGCAACAAGAGCATATCTAAACATGCATTTCATAACAGGGTGATATAGTCACTCTTTCAGGTAATGGGCTGGAATGTCTGAATCTCATTTGTCACACTAAAGGGTTGTGCGACTTGACAAATTTGTTCATGAGGTTTCTACTTAAGTTCCATTGGCTCAAATTCCATTTCTATCCTGTTAGTTCTGCCTACTACAGATATGAGTGAACATCCTCAAATATTACAATGTACCAATAGGAACCACACTCAATCCACATAAGCCATGGGATGCTAAAGTAGACCATGGGCTGGCACAAACCCAACAATAGTAAATACCAGTAATAGAGAAGAGGTTCAAGCACTCCAAAAGCTTCAGGCACATTTATTAGAACCAAGGGAACCCTGCATTGTTTCGACCCTAGATTGGATCTTTGTCAAGTTTGACAAAGACCCATTTTTGGGTTGAAACCTTGTATTGTTCCCTGGGTTCTAATAAATGTGTCTTAAATTATTGGATTAACTGGACCTCTCCTCTATTACTGGTAACATCATCAAATGTATCACAAACAGTACTGATAATACACTGTTTGAAAACACTGCATTAGGAGTGGTATTTCAGACTCATTAGGCAAGAAGGTGGAAATAGTTAAGTATTGATATATCTTATTAGCCAAAATAGCTGAATTGGAGAAAGTCAGCTATGCGTTAAATTAGGCTACTTTGGCCTAAAATCTGAAATCCACTCTGAATTCATTTTAAATTCTCACTTTAGTAAATGATCCTACAGGTTTACCATTATTTACAATCAGTGTTATTCACTAAAGTGCACATTTAAAGTGAATTTAAAGTTAATTTCAAATACAAGGTCATATCTGCCAAACTTAAAAAGTAAGCTATGCTTTTGGTTTGGTTACTCTAGTTTTTAACTCTCACTTTAGTAAATAACCCTGAATGAATATTTTTTCAGGTAATTTGGTTTAAATGTTTTGTGGTGGAGCAACCTGAGTCTATATAGTATTATTCTTGAAGCTTAACATTTTGAGAGGAGTTGAAGTCAAAATCCACTATTTTAAGATCAATTCCATTGAGTAGGAGATGCAACCAGTAAGAGACTTTATCAGATGTTATATTTTTCATATAATTAGTAATCTAGTTTTGTGTTTACTACTAGCTGCTTTATAACATTTATCTACCAACAGGCTGGCAAGTGGAAACAAAAACGGAAATGACATGGATCTCTTGGTTGAACAAGAATACATAAGTCTTATCATTGACAATGCCTTGAGTGCAGAATTGAGTAAGTTATCACTTGACCAAAAAAGTGAAGAGAAAGCACGATCTGTATTATTGGAAACAAACGATCCAGATTTAGCAGTAGAAGATAAAAATAAGCCAACAATGGTCAATGGAGAGACTAAAGTGACAATTCAACTCATGTCTTCAACAACAGCTCACAATATGAATACTTCTAGAGTAAAGGACATGGAGGCCATGAAAGGAATCACCTCTATTGCACAGACCAAGAATGAAGCCAATAGCGTAATAAAGTCCATTGAAACAACCAGAACAATGCAAATCAATAAAGACACAAAAACTACCAAAAACCTTAAAAACACCACAGTTTCTAGTAGTGAAGTTGACAAAATCCAGGATAACAAGGTCATCTCTGAAAAGAAAAAACTCCCAGTATTTTCCATGCTCTGCTCCAAAGCTAATGTAGATATTCCACAGCATAATACTAATTCAGGTAACTTGATTATATATTTTTTCTATAAACTACCTTGAGTATAGGTATCTACACATTACACACACAGAGAAAAAAAATAGACACGTGGGAAGTGGAAGGAGCATGATTCTAAATAAGTAAAGTATACAGTGAGGGAAAAAAGTATTTCATCCCCTGCTGATTTTGAAAGTTTGCCCACTGACAAAGAAATGATAGGCTATATTTTTAATGGTAGGTTTATTTTAATAGTAAGAGACAGAATAACGAAAAAAACATCCAGAAAAACGCATATTTTTAGTACTTGATGGCAAAACCCTTGTTGCGAATTACAGAGGTCAGACATTTCTTGTAGTGGCCACCAGGGTTTGCACACATTTTATGAGGGATTTTGTCCCACTCCTCTTTGGATTCTCCAAGTTATTAAGGTTTTCAGGCTGACGTTTGGCAACTCGAACCTTCAGCTCCCTCCACAGATTTTCTATGGGATTAAGGTCTAGAGACGGGCTAGGCCACTCCAGGACTTTAACGTGCTTCTTCATGAGTCACTCCTTTGTTGCCTTGGCTGTGTGTTTTGGGTCATTGTCATGCTGGAATACCCATATACGACCCATTTTCAATGCCCTGGCTGAGGGAAGGAAGTTCTCACCCAAGATTTGACGGTACATGGCCCCGTCCATCGACCCTTTCATGCGGTGCAGTTTTCCTGTCCCCTTAGCAGAAAAACACCCTAAAGCATAATGTTTCTTCCTCCATGTTTGATGGTGGAGATGGTGTTCTTGGGGTCATAGGCAGCATTCCTCCTCCTCTAAACATGGCGAATTGAGTTGATGCCAAAGACCTCAATTTGGTCTCATCTGACCACAACACTTTCACCCAGGTCTCCTCTGTATCATTCAGATGTTCATTGGCAAACTTCAGATGTACATTTGCTTTCTTGAGCAGGGGAACCTTGCGGGCGCTGCAGGATTTCAGCCCTTCACAGTATAGTGTGTGTGTAACGGATCACCTGGCACCCCGACTGGGTACCTCCGTTGAAGGATGCTCCTAGCACTTCCTGAGGACTCCAAGCACTGCAGCAGACACCACAACCACCGAACTGGAGAAGCATATGAATGCTCTCAAGCATATGAATGCTGTAAGCAGCTGAACAGGAAAAGCATACAATCAGCTGACACTCCTGGCAATCAGCATACAATCCAATTCCCCCAATAATGAGACGACACTTCGTTTTCAGATCAAGCAGAACTGACTAGACCGGCACATACAGCCTCTTTTATTCACAATCCACACATATAGTACTGCCCACAGGGTTTTGAAACACAGCCAATCAATCCGTACAATACACACAGACACTCCCACACAAAATCCTCCCCTCTGCCTGTGATATGATTACTGAACACAATGGTTAATATAATTATCCCAGACAGAGAAATACAGTATTATAAAACATATCACGGGGAGCCCAAAACATGCAATAACCCCATAAAAATATATCCTCGGAACCGGGAGATCTGGGTGAACCACATATCCAAAATTCACCCAGATCCGTTCAGTAGTTTGGAAGCTGCAGTTTAATGCAGATTCCGCAGAACATATACAGGCTATAAGAAAAATAATTACTGTATAATGTGTCCCCTGTTGTATAGTTTAAAACTACTGAACAATGTCTTCGTGCACCAAATACTGGCGAGAGGGCACCGTGTAGTAAGTCCCAACAATGTCTCTGAGTTAAAATGGCCGTCATCCATTGTTCTCACCACGTGCTTCATCCATTGTTCTCACCATGTGCGTCTGATACATGAAATGGTGGCCACCCAGTTACTCCACAGTATGTCCCCAGCAGCAGCACAACACAAATCCATTATGCCCAAATCATGTCTTTAAAGGGCAATACATCCCAGGAGCCATAGTCACATGGCAGGAGGCTGGCAATCAGTCTTCTCCAATGCCCAGTGGCGAGGTCGGTTTCGTCACAGTGTGTTACCAATTGTTTTCTTGGTGATTATGGTCCCAGCTGCCTTGAGATCATTAACAAGATCCTCCCGTGTAGTTCTGGGCTGATTCCTCACTGTTCTCATGATCATTTAAACTCCACGAGGTGAGCTCTTGCTGGAGCACAAGACTGAGGGAGACTGACAGTTATTTTGTGCTTCTTCCATTTGCGAATAATCGCACCAACTGTTGTCACCTTCTCACCAAGCTGCTTGGTGATGGTCTTGTAGCCCATTCCAGCCTTGTGTTGGTTTACAATCTTGTCCCGGACATCCTTGGACAGCTCTTTGGTCTTGGTCATGGTGGAGAGTTTGGAATCTGATTGATTGCTTCTGTGGACAGGTGTCTTTTCCTTAATGACAGTGCTCCTAGTCTCAGCGTGTTACCTGTATAGAAGACACCTGGGAGCCAGAAATCTTGCTGATTGATAGGGGATCAAATATGTATTTCACTCATTGACATGCAAATCAATGTATAACTTTTTTAACATGAATTTTTCTGGATTTTGTTTTCTGTCTCGCGCTGTTAAAATACACCTACCTCCTAACCTCCTGTACGATTTATGATCCTTATCCAGTGTGTGTTTTTTTGTTGCTGCTCATTCTGCCACATTTTTTTTCTCAGTTTTCTCTATTGTGGTGTCAATGCCATATTTTAATGTCTATTTTGTAATGTCTGTTACTATAAAACTCGTGTTTCCCATTTATTTATACATCTCTCACCTTAGCCCCCTCAGTCTTTGGTTGTCCCCTATTACATTTGTGCTCCCCCCTGTTAACTTTGTTGTCATGTGATATTTCTGACCTGATTTCTCTCCAACTGCTAGCAGGTATATTGCAGTTAACCTTGCTCTCATATTAAAAAGTGCTTGAGCATGTGTGCCTTAATACTGTCCAGTGCTGGCTTCTTAGGGGGTGTTAGCTGCACAGGGCACCATGGCAACAGGAGGTTTAGTTTACATGATTTGTTTTTGTATGTATGAATGACTGAGTGTGTTGACTGTGTGTGTTTGTGTCACTGTTTGTGTATTTGTGTGACTATGTATCTGTATGTGTGTATGACAGCTTTTGGGTCTGACCTAAAGTGCTTTCTGGTGGGTGTGTGTCTGTTTGTGTCTATGTTTGTGTGCCTCTGTGTCTGTAAATTTGGGTCAGTATGTGTCTATATCTGTAATCTGAATAAGTGTGAGTCTGTATGTGTTTATCTGTAAGTAGGTGTCTATATGTGTACTATTTAAGTGTATGTCTATATGTCTCTTTATGTGTGTACCTGAATGTCACAGTGTGGAGTTATTTTATTTATTTGTTTGGTCCAATTAATGTCCCAAATTTTGATTGCCCTTCAGCAATTTAAGCAATTAAAGTATTGAGCAGAACCTACCCACAGGTGCACAGTCCATTTTTTTCAAAAAGCCAGTTCAAATCCAGGTAAATCCAAAGTACTCTAGCACATCTTTTCTGTATCAATGTCCATTTATTTAACTTATCAAAGTGTACAGCAACGTTTCAAATGTAACACAAAGACTGCTATTATTACCAATTAAAATATTGTTGTGCACACTGGTCACTCAATAAAGGGACACTGATAGAAGAAGGATGTGCTATTGTGCTGGGAATATGTACGTCAACTCTCGTTCACATCCTATCTATGTACACTTTCACCCAGTTACTCAACCTCTCACCTAACTTCACATATAATAAAACTCAATATCTATAACCTCACCTCCAATCCATGTACACCCACCTCTCTATAAACTCCGATCCAGTACCAGCACTTTTTTTAGTCTAGCTTAATTAAAAAAGAAAGTGTCTTGATCCTAATTTTCTTACAGAGCACCACAATTATGGAATAACCCTCAAGACTAGAGTTGAGCGAACCCGAACTGAAAAATTCGGGTTCGTACCAAACATTAGGTTTTTTGGACCCCGGACCCGAACACGGACATATCACTGTAGCCAATCAACAAGCGTTCGGGTCGGAGTTCAGAGTTCGGCAATTTAATGACGCGTTTTGAAAGGCTGCAGGGCAGCCAATCAACAAGCGTTTGACTTGTGTGCCCTTAGAAGCCATCACAGCCATGCCTACTAATGGCATGGCTGTGATTGGCCAGTGCAGGATATATCCGAGGATATACTTTTTATGGGGTTATTGCATGTTTTGGTATATGTTTATAATACTGTATTTCTCTGCCTGTGATAATTATATTAACCATTGTGTTCAGTAATCATATCACAGGCAGAGGGGAGGATTTTGTGTGGGAGTGTCTGTGTGTATTGTACGAATTGATTGGTTGTATTTCATAACCTTGTGGGCAGTACTATATTTGTGGATTGTGAATAAAAGAGGCTGTATGTGACAGCACAGTCAGTTCTACTTCTAATTTGGAGTGTCGTCTCTTATTGGGGGAACCTGCTACAAGGGATTGCTATGCTCTGCATACTCTCTTTCTATATTCACTGCTAAGCTCTTGTAAGAGCTTGTTCCTGTTTTTGCTCTCTGAAGGAGTCTACGGTGGTTATGGTGTCTGCTGGAGTGCTGGAAACCCTCAGGAAGCACTAGGAGCATCCTTCAATGGAGGTACCCAGTCGGAGTGCCAGGTGATCCGTTACAGCCATAAATAAAAATTGGGGGGACCTAATGACCTAATGTCCTCCCCCCAGACCCCCACACCTGCATGGTGGGTGGAGGCCCTAAATAACAATAAGGGGGACCTAAATAATAATAAGGGGGGAACCTGAGGTCCTCCCCCCGGCCCCCCACCCCTGCGCAGCGGGTGGGGACCCTAAATAACAATAAGGGGGGGACCTAATGTCCTCCCCCCCAGCCCCCACCCCCCTCCCCCCAAAGAAATTACCCCTACCTACCCACCTCATCCTAAAAGTAATGAGGGGGGACCCTTGTCTAAATACCTGTAAAAAAAAATAGACTTACCATTTGATGTCTTCTTTCTTCTAAAATGTGCAGGGCACATTGGTTTGCAGTCCTACTCTTACCCCATTTTACTTCCTTTTGCAGCCCTCTAGCCCTTTCCAGAAGTTTTTTAGAGCCATTTTTGTGGCCAAAAGTTCGGGTCCCCATTGACTTCAATGGGGTTCGGGTTCGGGGTCAAGTTCGAGGTCAAGTTCGAGCCCGAACCCAGACTTTTTTTCAAAGTTCGGCCAAACCCGCCAGACCCGAACATCCAGGTGTCCACTCAACTCTACTCAAGACACTTATAAATCTACCCCCTGCCTAAAATCCTTTAAGAGATCCATCTCTACATATCTCAAAACACAGAATGCACCTGTAATCATGGTTGATTATATTTCTAACCTGTTTTGTGTTAAATTTATATATATGTTCAGTATTATTTTGTATTCTTAATATTATATTGTACCTTATTGTAATAATGCAGTGTTAGTAGGTCTAGGACATACTTGAATATGAGAGAAATCTCAATGTATCCTTCTTGGTAAAATAATTTATGAATAAATAAATAAATTAGCTGTCAACTCATGTCCTAGTTCTACCAATCCACTCTGCATACATACCATATTGTCTCTTGTATAATGTCACACATAAAATTCTTGCACAAATTAAAGTCCTGTCTTACCCTTTCTGACACAAAATACAGCCCCTAGACACAAATAATACATCACAAACCTAACACAAACAATCATATTTGCACATCTATAATGCATAGAAACATAGAATGAAACGGCAGACAAGAACCTTTTTGCCCATCTGGTCTGCCCAATTTTTTTTTCAAAATAGTTTTTAGTCCCTGGCCTTATCTTAAGTTTAGGATAGCCTTATGCCTATTCCACGCTGTGTTAACCTCTACCACTTCAGCTGGAAGGCTATTCCATGCGTCCGCTACCCTTTCTGTAAATTAATACTTTCTGAAATCATTTTTAAACCTTTGCCCCTCTAATTTCCTTTTGTTGTAGTAGGTTTTTTTTTTTTTAAATATAGTCTCCTCCTTTAATGTGTTGATTCCCTTTATGTATTTGAATGTTTCTATCTCTCCGTCTCATCTTTCCTCCAAGCTATACATGATAAGATCCTTTAACCTTTCCTGATAAGTTTTATCCTGCAATCCATGAACCTGTTTAGCATCCGAATGTCCGAATATACGAAATTCGTCTGACTGAAACAAATTACACATGTCTACTGTTTAGTAGCCCTTCTCTGGACTCTTTCCAAAGTATCAATATCCTTCTGAAGATACGGTCTCCAGTAGTAGAAACATAGAAACATAGAAACATAGAATGTGACGGCAGATAAGAACCATTCGGCCCATCTAGTCTGCCCAATTTTCTAAATACTTTCATTAGTCCCTAGTCTTATCTTATAGTTAGGATAGCCTGATGCCTATCCCACGCATGCTTAAACTCCTTTACTGTGTTAACCTCTACCACTTCAGCTGGAAGGCTATTCCATGCATGGAATAGTGCGTACAATACTCCAAGTGAGGTCTCATCGGTGTTCTGTTCAATGGCATGAGCCCTTCCCTCTTTCTACCGCTAATGCCTCTCTCTATACAACCAAGCATTCTGTTAGCATTCCCTGCTGCTCTATTACATTGTCTGCCTACCTTTAAATCATCTGATATAATTACTCCTTTCCTCAGATGTTGAGCATATCAGGGTATCAAATATTCTGTACTCTGCCTTTTGGTTTTACGCCCAAGATGCATTATTTTGCACTTAGCCACATTAAATGTCAGTTACCACAGCTCTGACCATTTTTCTAATTTACCTAAATAATTTGCCATTTGGCTTATCCCTCGTGGAACAATAACCCTGTTAGTATCATCAGCAAAAAGACATACCTTATCATCAAGACCTTCTCCAATATCACTAATAAAAATATTAAAGAGAATGGGTCCAAGTACAGATCTCTGAGGTACCTTGCTTCAAATATACTCCATTGACTACAATCGTCTGTTGCCTCTCATTCAGCCACTGCCTAACCCATTCAACAATATTGGAATCCAAACTTAAATTTTGCAGTTTGTTGATGTGGAACAGTGTCACAAGCCTTACAGAAATCTAGGTAAGCAGATTGTCTACTGCATCGCCCTGATCTAATATTTTAGTTACCCAAGTTAAAAAATCAATAATATTAGTTTGGCATGATCTCCCTGAAGTAAACCCATGTTGTCTCTGATCTTGAAATCCATGTGATTTTAGATGTTCAACAATTCTGTTCTTTAACATGGTTTCCATCACTTTCCCCATGACTGAATTAAGACTTATTGTCCTGTAGTTGCCCGACTCCTCCCTACTACCTTTCTTGTGAATGGGTACAACATTCGCGAACTTCCAATCTTCTGGGACTATTCCTGTTAATAATGATTGGTTAAATAAATCCGTAAATGGATTTGCTATTACACCAATAAGTTATTTTAATAACTTTGGGTGTATCCCATCAGGCTCCATCGACTTATTTGTCTTTACTCTTGACAGTTGAAATAGAACCTCTTCCTCTGTAAACTCACATGTACCAAATTACCTATTTGTCCTTTTTCTTAACTGAAGTCCCTTTCCTTCATTTTCATATGTAAATACTGAACAAAAATATTCATTAAGGCAGTCAGCTAGACCTTTATCCTCTTCTACATACCTTCCTTCTTTTGTTTTTAATCTAACTAAATCTTGTCTTACTTTTTTTTCTCATTTATGTATCTAAAAAATGTTTTATCCCCCTTTTTTACTGACTGTACTATTCTCTCTTCTGTGTGTGCTCTGGAGGCTCTTATAACTTGCTTTACCTCTTTCTGCCTAATTTTATAGATCTGTCTGTCTTCCTCACTCTGTGTTTTTTATAATTAGTAAATGCTAACGTTTAGTTTTTTTACTATTTTGGCCACAGAGTTTTTTTTAATGTTTCTGCTCTTCCTGACAAGCCTAATGGAATTTTCTGTTGCTTTCAGTAGTGCAACTTTTAAATAAAGAGCAAAAAATAGTACAGTGTATGTAAGGAGCTTAACAGTGGTACCAGCAGCTATTGCACACTTAATGGATATCCCAAAGAATCCACTAAAACAAAGAATATAGACAAAGAATGAACTCGGTGTTTGGGTGATCGACCCCGAAAACGCTCTAAAAAATGTGAGTTTATTTATACACTCACTTAATGTACACTTGTAAAGTAACATATTACACTATTATATATTTTTCTATTCCTTGCATGTGGAAAAATCCCCTATATGTACTGAGGGGTAAGTGTAAATATATTTAAAGTGCTGTACTTTTGGACTCTGTGTGCTGGGAGGTGGGGTTGATCACCCAAACACAGTTCATTCTTCAACTTTTAAATAATCCCATTTCTCCTGGACTCCATTGGACTACATCATAAACAGCCGCCTCTACACGCAAGCATCCTTCAAAAGCATGCACAAAATCCTTTTCTGCCCCTGTCCCTCTTTTGTCCTCTGGGATCCCAGTTATGGAGGCACCAGAGAAAAGTCACCAGCAATTGTAAGGTTTATAACAGTGAAACGCTGTGTTTTAAGCTGTAAAGCTCTGTTTTACATTACTGGGAGATTTTTTTGCGGCAGAGCTCTGTGATACACTCATACACACCATGCACTTTGGTAAGGTTTTTTTTTTTTTACATCTTTAGCTTGGTTATTGCTGATTTACTTAATAATTACACTTATATTTCACTTACAAGTTTAACAACTATGAGTAAAAATTTTATTTTTATTAAGCTTTCTAATCTTTTAGTTTTTGGGTTGATAAGAATGGGAGATGGTGGGCAGTATGGGGTCAGGGGTGTGGTCAGAGAGTGGAGCTGTGAAGATATTTTGCACAGGGTGCCTAAAAGCCTATGGCTGGCCCTGGTTCTTTCTACATGCTGATTTATACTTTACTGTAAATAATTGATAAAGTAAACATTGGATATGATGATCTAAAACATTTCACAAAGCACAGAATTTTTATAAATGAGGAATATTTGTTCAGGTGGGTGTGTGTTCAGTAAAGGTATAATACTAAAAAAAAAATTTTATTAAAAAATATTTCATTCTAGAACATGGACAAAACTTACCAAAGACATCAAATAGCACAGAAAGATTATCAGATCAAAAGACTTGTGGATCTGACAACAAAGATCTGAGCCTCCCTCATGCTGAGATTAAAAAATACAATCTATTTCAATACGAACCTCCATTTAAAGTTCCTGGTCTTAAGGCAGGTGGCAAAATCGAGACCCATGGTAAGCATTTACAACAATAAAAGTTAGGAACTTTAAAAACTTTTAAAAAATGTTTTATTGATAAGGGGATAAAGGATATAGAGTTTTGTATGATTAATCCTTTTAGCAGTTATACTTTACATAACATTACATAACAGGGCAACAGCTGGTTTTGCCGCCGGGTCTGGCACACCATTGTTAGTCATCTAGATAAAAAAATTTTTTAAATTGGGTTGGAAAATTGTGTCTCATTCTTCTCAGGTATGCTAAATTGATAACTCCTTTACATTTAAATAATTACAGTCAAAGAATTGAAACAAAGTGTACTCAAAATGTATGCATATGTCTCAATATGTGAGTGTCCAAATTATCTAAAAAAGTCATCTGTTTTATAAACAGGTTTGTAGAGTAGTGTGTTTTTCTGTCATGTTATAGGAAGCATTAAGATGCGTTTGAAGGGGTCTGTCTGACATTTACCTCTGGTTATAGATAGCATTGCAGTGTAAGCCATGTTATTATCTTTATTGATGATATTGACTATATACCAGTATAGAGGTAGACAATCTTTGTCACTCCAGACTCCATCTCCCATAATACTCTTGCAGTCATAATGCTCACAAAGCATCAGGGGAAATGTAGTGATTAGTGATGTCCCGAACGGTTCGCCGAACGGTTCGCCACGGACGGCGAACATATGCGCTGTTCGGTCCGCCCCCTATTCGTCATCATTGAGTAAACTTTGACCCTATACCTCACAGTCAGCAGACAGATTCCAGCCAATCAGCAGCAGACCCTCCCTCCCAGACCCTCCCACCTCCTGGACAGCTCACTAAGAATGCAGCTTCACAATGAATGTAAAATGGATGCTGTCCAGGAGGTGGGAGGGTCTGGGAGTGAGGGTCTGTTGCTGATTGGCTGGAATGTGTCTGCTAACTGTGAGGTACAGGGTCAAAGTTTACTCAATGATGACATAGGGGGCGGACCGAACAGCGCATATGTTCGCCATCCGTGGCGAACAGTTCGGCGAACCGTTCGGGACATCACTAGTAGTGACTAAGGGAATAAAGGGTATTGATAAAATATGCTGTGGTCCCACCTCCCACTAAACTTAACTCTTCCTGCTCTCATCTAAACAAAGTCTATAAAAAATAACAAGATCATGTATGGCATTGCATGGCAGGTGTACTTTAAAGATTCTCAGAACAAGTAAACCACATGCCAGTAATTTTCTAATTTGTTTGTAGCAAATTCCTCTAGCTTGGTTCCAACACAATCAATGGTCAAGGAACTCAATCCTGTGGAAAAAGGTAATTGCACTGCATACTGGACTGGACTATTTAAAAACTTATTTAGAAAAAGTTAAACAATACAAAAAGCAGATTTTAACATACAAACAGCTCCATAGACTTGTTTATAGATTGCAACTAACATCTGTTGCCATAAGCATGCATGGCAGGTGCTTTATAATTCCCTTATACATGCAACCTAGGTAGATTGTATTTCCAGTGCTGACTAAGCAAACCAGAAAGCAATGGAAAAATTAAACTTAATAGACTTTGCTCGTTGTTTTTCACACCTTACTACAGTGTGCTATTTGATATCAGCAGTGCTACATTAATCCATTTATGCTTTGCCAAGTTATCTGGATGTATGCAGAGAACATGCTAAGTTATTCACAGAAAATGTTAACATTTTTTTTTATTGTTTCTATTGCATTATTATTAATAGTAGTAGTATTTTGTTATTGCCAATAAATGTGGAATCCTTAATAAAATACCATGTATATAATTTAATGCATAAAAATATTGCCATTGATATGAAATGCAAATACACAAATAGTAAATATAAAATAAATAAAATGAAATAAAGACATAGGGGGACTAAAAGATGAAAGGCAGGCATATTGTAATATCCATTGGTGGCAATAACTGGGGGCCTGGCAGCCAATGTTTACCCTATCACCATCCCATTACCAAGCAATAGTGAAGAGTATCATATTAGTGTGGGGGGGGGGGGTTAAACAGTGTAACATGAAGACTAGGATCCCCCTGGTCTTGTTAACCAATTATTCGTTAGATCAGGATCTAATAAAAGAAATGCGCATCCCATCCTAAACAGGACCAGGTGGTGCCTAGTCTTCTGGTTACACATAATTATAAATAATCCCCAGCATCCCCTAAAATCCAGACCTTAAAAAAAACTGTTGCCTGCATATACCCTTCCTCTGAAAGGTATTGAAGTGAGACAGCAATAGCTAACAAAATAATAAAAAAAAAAATAAAGAATGTAATTAATACTTGTTTGTCGAAGTCTTGCAGGAAGGTCTATTTATTTCCTTCGCAAATCCCACTGGAACTGTAAAAAATGAAACTGTTTTCAAAAGAAAAAAGTTACATTAAAGAACTAAAAACACAAAAATATGACATCAACTTTTTTTGTCATACAGTAGATATAAGATAAACAGATAAAATATAAATAGTCAAATATCCTGCTTATTGTTATTAGCAAGAATTCTTTTTTGAAATAATTTTTATTGAATATTTTGCAATAATAATAAAAAATAATGACTTTTTAGCTAAATAGTTTCATAAAAACCCTACCGACTGTACAAATTATGTCTGCATGTGGATAAAATGTCTATTGAAAATATGCAGCAATCTATAAAAGTATGCACGATTAAATAGTACCTTTGAAATAATCTGATATTACTTATCCCGATGAATAGGAAATTGGCTGCACAATGTAAAGGGACTTCCAAGAGAATTCAAAGTAACTTTTTAATTAAAGGCAATTAGGAGAATTAAAGTAATTCTCAGTCAATTCTGTCTTCAGTTTGTCTATTTTGGCTTTAAATTATAAAATTCTGGGGGGCGGGGTCGGACCGTCGAGCTGAAAGGAAGCCACTCATGCAGCTCCGGTCCTGAGCCCAAATAAACACTGATTTACCACTCATAAACCGACCATCTGCCCCTCAAAAGAATATATCTGAATAGAGAAACCAGCCAGCATTACAAGGAGACCAGTCGGCAGCTACAGACCCCACAAATGTGAGGAATATGAAGGCACGGGCCTACTTGATGGCATGAACATGCGGCCTATTGCTGAGATTGGAAACACTCTGCACATGCTCCGTGAACAATCATGATATGGCAGTACCTGTCTTTCCCAATGTACAAAAGGTGACCGGAGAGACCACACTGCAGCCCTGCACCTCCCCAGAACCGGGGGGTTTATTCCAGTCACTTGTTTCCTGGTTTTAAACTGCAAGTTTTATACCGCAAGTTTCCACGCACAAGTTCATGTTTCTCAGCCTGCAATTGCGAGATGTTGGACATAGCTTTGCCTGTATGTACCCAGCCGCTATATGGGAGGCAGCACCCACACTGTGAAAACTCCCTTCCTGCCTTACCAAGGAGTGGATAAGACGACTCTCAACACACTCACCCAGGAAACTGCCGACGTATCACTCAGGTGCAACGAGGGGATTGCCCACAAGCAGTGGCATCCGGAGGCCTAGAGGGTGTAGCTGTCCGTTGCTGTGACGCTGGCCGGCTGGATTGTGGGGGACTGCGGTGGACCGGTGGCTGCGGGGCCATGTGGACCATGCTTAGGAGAAGTGGCTGGCGATAGAGGAGGCCCACAGAGGCGCCATGTCTGATTTACTGAGACTCTGCCGGGACATTGGAGGTTAAGAGGCCATCCGGTTGGTAGACTCTAGGAGAGGGGGGTCTCATCGACTGGGGGGTCCCTCGAGTGCTGTACAAAGAAGCTCATGGTGGGGGGCTGTACCTGGTGTCGGGTGTTAGTGCATATGTTGGTACCCACGGGTGCCTGTTGTTGGTGTATTGGGTATGGCCCTACAGAGGCTTCACACTACTCCTTATTCTCACGTGGGAACAGTGGCATGAGGGGAGACACGAGACACATTTTCATGCAGGGATAGCCCCCACCTAAGCTATTCTTATTTTGTTTACTTAATTATTTATTTATTTATTTATTTTTATTTTTATTCTTTAAATATTTATAACCTGGACGCACGTGCTTGGACCAAAATCCCTGGAGTTCACAAGCAGACCTAACTAGCAATCTTCACTTTGGGCCCTATTCCACAGGCCCCTACTCACTTTTGGGGGCACTATTCCCACCCTTTTTTTTTCTTTTTCCCTTCATTTTATTTTATTGCATTATAACTGTCAGAATCTCTAGCGGGAGATATGCACGCTACAAACCTAACATATAGTCTAAGCTGTGGATCCACAACCCCAACAGCAGAATAGGGTAGATCATACAGCCTAGTTAATGACATTGCTTTTGTCACACAACAAATTACCAGCAACCATTGGCTCACAGGTGGCGACTAACATGCGGGCTGCCCATGCGCTGTATCCTTCTTCTCGCACGTTAAGGCACAATGTTCACAACTGTAACCTTGTATATTGATTTAGTTCTTAGTATTACACCCTTTCTTTTTTAGAAAACACATACAGGAAAAAGGATAGAGCAAAGGAAAATTTACAATCAGACATACATAAGCGATACACCATGTACTGATACACGCTTCCAAGGCTAACTTGGCATTTTACATATATGACTTATTACGCTGCATTGAGCTTTTGCAACAGGAATTTCTTCCCAAGCTTATATAATTTGGATAGCAGATGGGCCTGAGGCACTGTTGAAACCATGAGATTTCTTACATACCAAATCCCACACAATTCCATACCAATTATTAGTAAGGTCTATAAGGTATGCGTTCATAATTTTCATGTATTTAAACTAGTATTAATGCTGGTTCCTGAATTTACCACTAATAGTCCTACATATTTTATTTTTTCGTTAGTTTTGAGTTCATTGAGCACATCTATGCAAATGCGTCCAACCTTCATGCAATATTCTCCTGCAATATTATCGTATGCCATATTTTACTGCAATACGTTCACACTCCTAACTACAAACATCTGCAAATAGATACGATCTCCGTAGTTTACTTTTATTGATGCGTTATTTTTAAGTTTTGTAATTAATTTATTGCAACCACGACTAACCTCACTGCATTTTAATACTGCAATAATATTGTACACCAGCCTATACTGAAACATGTCCACATTTCCTACTGCAAATGCATGTAAACTAATGTAAATAAAAAGACTTCTTGAATAAATTATAAAATTCACTTTGAATTCTAGGTAATTCTGGCTTTAATGAATAATCATGTATGTGTACAATGTTTCCTCTTTGTTTCTTGGTAGTTCCACATATTACCAGTAGGAGTTACACTCACCTTAGTATACTCTAGGTCCTAGGAGAGTACTTATTAAAAACAAATATCTATTCAAAACACATTTTAGTTAAATATAGACTACTTCATTGGAGCTTTCTCAAAACATTAAGTGCTTTAAAATTGAGATCATAACCTTATTTTTAATGAAAATGCTGACCTTACCGTTATCTAAAACTATTTTATTATTGATTGACAAAAGAACTGCTATTTAAAAAATGTACTTGTCCAAATCTTAAAATTACCAGATTTTATTAAAAGTATGTTGATGACTAGCACTCATAATACTACGCCACCCAGTGATACACTATTGTCTCTTTTACTGCCTCTCTTTCTCTGTTCAGATTGACATAATTTTGTGAAAATGACTGAATATGTCAAAATTTGGTCTCCCCAAACGAATCTGCAGCAATTGTACTAAAGCATTCGGTGTCCATATTAAAATTGGTGCTTTTTCATACAAATCCTATATAAAGTATAGGGTTCAGGAAGATTCACGAAGCACCAATTCTAAACTGAGTAGAAATTGAATGCATCCAGAAGGATTCACGTTAACAAATTATCATTCACTTGCTTTCATGCCAGTGAACAATAATTTTCAGTACTATTAGCCAACCAGCAGGCAAATATTTAAACAGCCCTGCAATGGTTATTTATGTGGTTGCTGGCTGGTGCTTGCTAGCCAACTGCCCCATTGATATTAATAAATAACTAAATAGATAAAACACTTATGGAGGTCAATAAGTCCTCCATATTACAATAAGCCTTGCGGGACATGTCTAGTAAATATTTCAAAATGGTGACTGGGCAGTCAGTGCGTGGACATTGGATGAGGTATTTTACAATAAACGATAGTGGATGGACAGAACACTTTCCACCACCTTCCCCCAGCTGTGGCCAGCTGGTAACATGGGAAATAGCTGGATAGTTACATAACAGCGCTGTAATACTTTACATTACGTGGGGAAAGCCTATATAAATGCTTCCACTGCTATTAAAGCTTAGTCTACAAGGAGCCCCACATGTGTGAATACGATTTTATTTTGTTGCTATTTAATATTTTTGTAGTTTTTTTTATATTTGCGATCTGGCTTTTTTTTTGAGTTGCATTGTGGGATTGATGGATTTTAACGAGAGGAGAGTGATTGGATCTGCTTTTATTTGGAGGGGTGGACATGCCACCTATAGGTATCATGATCTTATCATGATGAAGCGACATCTACCTCGCTATACCCCTTTGGCATTGCGTGCTCTTGAATCAGGTAATTACCACCAGTGTGGATCAGCAGAATCAACAGTATAACTGGCTCCATCACATACCGCCGAAATGATCACTCCAAATAAAATTGTTGCCAGGGCAATTCCCTGATCTCACACCACCTAACCTTGACCTGGTGATAAGGAACCCCAAGATTCTGGTCATATGACCTCTGGTCTGCCTGACTAGCTTGCCAATAAATAAAAGAATGCCCAATGATCCAAACATGTAGAGAATAACTAGAAATAAAGAAATAAACAGAACATTAACCATACCCAGGCACCTATAAAAGGTCCGGATGATAAAAAGTGCAGACATACAAATACAAGGGAAAATACTGATGGATGGTTGGTGGATCTGGGCACCAAAACATTGGGACCCCAGGCACAAGGCACACTTCTTTCCTTAGGGAACTTATTACACACGTTTATGTTCCTGCTGCCCTCATCAAGACTCAAACCTCCATGAGGATGGCGTTCTGTGGTAACATCCCAAAGGGGTGTTTTAGAGGACCGGTCGACACCAGGGCCATGTTGCCAACCACTTAAGGACATCTGACCCCGGTACCTCGCAAACGCTAACTCTATTACCCTAAAGAGCGAGAGACAACCTTCTGGTGCTCCAGATGATCGGACAGAGAACATAGAATGTGCAAATGAGCTAGTTTTCGTTTTCCTCAGGTAAGCACCCCTAGGGTATCATCGACTGTACTTTCTACTACGTTCACAGGAGATACCATCGCATCTAGGCGGAAGGCATTCAAACCTATTAAGGAACCTTTTTCACGAAGACGACTGGCTTGCGAATCTGGATATGAAGACAGGTCATGTTGATTCTTTTCCACCCCTCCTGACAACGTTATCTAGGTTTCCTGTGACACGACCAACCGTGGATCTTCACCTGATTCCTCAGCTCGGATCCTTGGGGACTTCATGAAACTACCGAAAAAAAGTGATCAATTACGTATGGGGAATGCGTCGCATTATTTTCCTGGACGATACCCTTCTGTTCGATTCAGAGAATTCAAGTCTTCGTCAACACTCGATTCTCCGTGGTCCGGCTGGAATTGTCGTGCTTTCGTAATGGATGATCCACTTCTTGGGATTCATGAGCGACTCTGCATCTTGCACATGGACGCTTTCCCCTTCATAGGTATCCTCTACCCTTGAGGAAATTCACATGATCCTCCATTGCAACACTATGACCCTAGACACACTCGCACGGATTGTGGGATACTTCCCTCCTCCATCCAGGCTATCTTCCCAGTTCCGCTACGGTACTGGAACTTCCAGCGATTCCTGGTAAGGTTTCCTTAGGCAAACCCCTACAATCAACCGGACTTCATTCTGGTGTCTGATACCAGCTTGTTGGGCTGCGGTTAACAGAGCTTGCTTGCGAAAGCGGGTGCACAACTCAGGAATTATCCCTTAACATTGAATGCCTAGAAACCTTCGTGCAGTACTTCACTATCCGCAGACTGGTAAAGGAGTACTCCATTTGTTGCATCCTATTCCAGAGGGACAGAACGTCGACAGTCAAATATACCAATCACCTGGATGAACCCAACTTCCGTCTCCTATAAGACATCATGAAAGGCTTGAAAAAAACAGGTTTATAGAGAGCGCAAAAAAATATATCAATAAAATAGTGGATTTTCTAAGCAGGTGCTTCAAATTATGATTATCCACAAGAAAAAGTTAATACAAAGCTGCCGGATACACTAAAAACCTTCCCAAGTTTTAAAACATCATGTGTGACATAAATTGAAATAAAAACAGTATCAGCGCTTAGTTAATATACCCCTATTTTTTGTATATGTGTCAACAACAAAAATGTATTGAATAAATTAAATAGATCTACGCGTTTCACTCATTCAAATGAGCTTTCTCAAGATCTTGAGAAAGCTCATTTGAATGAGTGAAACGCGTAGATCGTGTTTCTGGCGGGATTTTTGAATTTGGAGAGATTGCAGTAAGATTGGCTAGTTGGCTTCTCAGTGAGGATCGATCCGAGTGCACAGGACCGGTCTGGAAATAACACCCACGGAGCGGTAACTTTATATTCACCAACCAATATTCTGCAATTCTACGTTTTTATTGTGAACCTTAGAAATAAGTTTCACCACTTTTAATTGTAAGAGTTCCTCTTATGGGGGGATTACCGTATGGGAAATAAAGTATTGTAACTGTATCACGCTATGTCAGTATCTTTTTGATTTAAGGTTGGATACATATAAAGACAAAGTCTTTTTACACCAATTACTGTTACAACTATCAAATCCCTGCGGACATTTGAAAACACCCCATGAAAATTGAAACTGGGACTCTTTATTTAATTTATTCAATATATTTTTGTTGTTGACCCATATACAAAAAATAGGGGTATATTAACTAAGCGCTGATACTGTTTTTATCATGAAAGGCTTCTCAGATTTCTGCCTTCCTCGTAGAACCTCCCTGGGGGTGGACTATCTCCCGCAAGAGAGACACACCTCAACTCGAATTAGTTTTCCAACCTTTAGAGGGATGCCAGAATTCAGTGTTCTCCAATTGGCACAATGGTGGTCGCACTCCTGTCAACTGGGCCTCTCTGGGGGACGTATGCTTTACCCCCCTTCGCAATGATTGTGAAAATTCTCCATCATCTCGTTGTTCAGCGAATAACACTGCTTTGGCCATTCCGCTGTGACAGAATCAGCCTTGTTGCCCGGACCTTAGGGGACTGACCAGTGAGGATCTACTCCTCCTACATTCATATCTGACTATTCTCACAGACTCGAAGGGGAACCACACAGACAGCCCGCCCGCCGGGGTCAGCAGGGCCAGACAGACAGCAGGGCCAGACAGACAGACAGCGCTGGTCACACAGACAGCCCGCCCGCCGGGGTCAGCAGGGCCAGCCTCGGGAGGCTGTGAGGTGGCTGGCTTCTGGGCCCCCAGGAGAAGAGGCTGGCCCTGTGGGTACATACCGGGTCGCAGGGGCGGCCGGGCCCCCTGGTGGCCCAGGAGCCCAGCAGCACCACCACTGGACCCCAGGGAATGCCCCCAGCACTCCAAAAGGTAAGGAGGCTGGGGGGATTCAATTTAAAAAAAAACATGTGTTAGTGTTAGTGTGTGTGTGTTAGTGTTAGTGTGTGTGTGTGTGTTAGTGTGTGTGTGTTAGTGAGTGTGTGTGTTAGTGTGTGTGTCTTAGTGTGTGTGTATGTTAGTGTTAGTGTGTGTGTGTGTGTTAGTGTGTGAGTGTGTGTTAGTGTGTGTGTAAGTGTTAGTGTGGGTGTTAGTGTGTCTGTTATTGGGTGTGTCTGTTACTGAGTGTGTCTGTTACTGAGTGTGTCTGATGTCTGTTAGTGAGTGTGTGTTTATCAGTGAAAGTGTATGTTTTGTAAGTGAGTGTGTATGTATGTCTGTCGCTGAGTGTGTCTCTGTCAGTAAATGTGTGTGTCTGTTAGCTAGTGTGTATGCGTCTGTTCGTGAGAGTGTGTGTCTTCAGCATTTACCTTTCTCCAGCGCCGGACTTCCTTGGCGCTGGGGATCCCGCCGCCTCTCAGCTCCGAATGCACATGCGCGG